GTCTGCAATGCTTGGGCCCACAGGGCCTTGAACTCCTGGTTGGGTCTGCACAGTGTCTTATTTATTATTTGTTTAGGATGGCTGTTAGTTTTTAACTGCTGACCTTGCAGTTAGCAGCCCAACTTGTAACCACTACGTTACCAGAGCTCCTTATGTGAACATTAAGATAAGCTTTTCTTGTTCTAGGGAAGTACGTGATGGTGATGGGCATGGTCCAGGCTTGCAGCCCTGAGCCATCCCTTCAGGCTGTGAAGATGACTGATCTTTCCGATAATCCAGTCCATGAAAGCATGTGGGAGCTGGAAGTAGACGATTTACAAAGGAATATCCCTTAGGCAGTGCGGGAACTGTAGCTAAAACCCACTGAGAGCCTGGAGGCGTTGAAGCTTCCTCTTCTGCCATGTGGATTTCATCTACCTCGTTCAATGTCTGCTTCTCCAAAGATTCTCAGCTCTGGTTGATCGGAGTCCGGATGTAGGAATTTTTTCATGCCAGGATACTCAGTTAACTCCCCCTGTGCTGCCCCCTTGCCTTGAATGTGTTTGCTGATGAAAAGCAGATGTATTCGTTGTTGTTTGGGCTTTATGTGTGCTAATTCTTTATTTCTCTAAAACACAAAAATCTCATGTTGCATTTTCCAGATTTTACAAGGGATGATACATTTTCCATTTCTCCTGTGAAGACCCTGTTTTTTTGTTGTTGTTGTTGTTGTTTTATACGAGGCCAAATTTGAATCTCAGTCTTTGCCCAAGGAGATTCAAATGTGGTTCCAGGCTGGAAAACAGTCTATGTCAGAAAGTACCTGACATTAGTCCTTGGTCTTCTGCATGCAACATTCCCATATCCCGTTTTCAAGTCAGGTGGCATTTTCCGGAAGCAGGGACAGCGGCGCGCAGCCGAACCCAGCCCAGCCCGCCTTCTTCAGGTTGCAGACACCACGTAGCCAGTTCTGGCCCGTTTCCACCGTACGTCAGGAGTGTGATACCCGCCTTGCTTCCTCCCTTGACTTGAGATGCTGAATTGCTCTCCACATTTGTCCCATAAAAGAGGCCGTGGAGCAGAGTGATGATCGCGATTCGGGACGTCGCTAAATTTCTGCAAGAAGACACCACGAAGGAGTACCCCCTGCTCCAGGGTCCTGCCACCTCTTTGCTTAGTCGTGCTTGAGCTGAGTGTCGGGTTTCTGCACTCTGCTCTTTGCTCAGGCCTCATCTTTCTTTGGTCTGTGAACATGAAGTCGCCCAGGTTTCAGCATTCCTGCAGAGTGTGGTCCCAACTCACATTTTGCGGAGTCTCAATAAACAGAAGTTAACAATTTTAGCCTAGCTAGCTAGTTGTGTTCGTTTCTTTATGGCCTGTACTTTTTTTGTGTTTGTTTTTATTATGTGCTGTGGAGTTGGTTCTGACTCATAGTGACCCTGTAAGGGTTTCCGAGGCTGTAAATCTTTACAGGAGCAGAAAGCCTCATCTTTCTCCGCGGAACAGCTGGTAGTTTAGAACTGCTGACCCTGTGGTTTGCAGCCCGATTTGTAACCACTGTGCTACCAGAGCTCCTTTTTTGGGGGGTCTGTTCTTTTTTCATTGTTGTTGAAAATGCACACAGCAAATCATACACCAATGCAGTAGTTTCTGTGCATGCAATTCAGTGACACTGATGATATCCTTCGAGGTGTGCAACCATCCTCAGCCTCCTTTTCTGCCTGTACCGCCTCCACTCACATCAACTCACTGCCCCTAAGATTCCCATCTGACCTTTCATGTTCGTGTCACTGTGAGCCCAAAGAGATAGTCCTGAAATGAGTAGACTGGGCGAGGCAGACATTCTTTACTAAGCAAAGCTCTTGTTTGGTTTCAAGATGACTTCAGGGGATATTTTTAGTTTAAGGTTTAAAGAGGCTCTTAGGACAAGAGTTTCAGGGGTTTATCCAGCCTCTATGGTTCCAGAAAGTCTGGATTTGCAAGGAACTGTGTGTGTGTGTGTGTGTGTGTGTGTGTGTGTTGCTTGTACTGACCATTGGGTCTCCTGCTCCCAGCTTATTGCCAAGATTTTCTCTAGACTGTTCCAACATTCCTGCAGTTTGGTAATATTTCACATTTTATGATATAATAAATGA